TATATATATATATATGTGTGCAAAACAACAAAGAGTGAGAGAGAACACTTTTTTAAATTGCTTCTCACAGTTTATGAGCAAAAAAGGAAATAATGCTATTTCAAACAGGACTTCATCCCAGCAGGTGACTGAAGTTTTGATTAACTACAAAAAATATCTATAAAAGATTTGAAAGTAACAAAAGTTCAAAGGATATCCAGATTTACACCAAATGTGTGGGAAAAAAATGATCAAAATGATTGAAAGCTGCAACAACTCCAATTTTAGCCAGTGTTAGGCATGGTGGAGATAGAGGCATGATCTGGGGCTGTTTGGCTGTATAAAGAAGGACAATAAGTCCAAGAGCCAAGTTTTGTGACGACTGGATCAGGGTTCTGTGATGATCGATAATTTCATTGCTTAGAAACAAACTAATAATGACAGCCTATAATTGCATCCTGTATTAACATCATGTCTTCTGCAGAGACTGAGATCTGCTCCTGAGATCCAGTCTCTGCAAAGACCAAATAAAAGAACGAACTGACATGAGTCGGAGGCATTCCACACCTTGACCACAGGTAACGCTCAACAGTTGGTGGTCGGAGTGGGTCTGCAGGGAAGTAGACTGCTGCACACATGTTGGTCCTCACCTCTGTAGTGAACTAGGCCTGAAGGTCAAAACCTTGACCTAAGGACCATATGGGACAGAAACTGTCATTTCATTGATTTGAATCCAGAAATACAGGTTGGCCCATCCTGAGACTTTCTTTCTTGAAAATTCAAGTGAAAGAACACTCTCTTTTCTATCATCATTACTATTTTACAAATGTTTGATAATCAAAGTGTTTTTAGTTCAAACCATTTTAGATGCTGCAGTGAACTAATCATTTTAATTAACTGTGAAACATTAATAATGATTTTTTAATCCTCATGCAAAGTTAGAATTCATGTTAAGGTCTGTTACAGAGTAATTAGGCATTTTCTGATTTTCTGTCTTTGAATGAGCAAGTGTAAGTTGGTCCAAGGTTGGAGTCAAACGCAAACAAGTGTTGGAACGAACTGTCTTGTTTTTAAATCCTCTCAGACGTAAATAGAGAAGCTGGCACCTGTTTTCCGCCAACTCATCCAAACATTTCTCTCTCTGTCTCTAAAAACATTTTCAATCTGTTCCATAACATTCTTGCTGTTTTTCTGACTCCTAGTGACCTCTTACGTCACAAAACACACCCCTGTCTGGTCGATAGTGACCAATCAGAAACTCCCAGATGAACCGGAAATAGAGCTCTTTAAAATGTCGGTACTTCCTAGTTCAACCGGTCGACAGTCGAGTTTGGAGTCGAGTCCAGTCGGGTGGGAAACAGGAAAATCCTGACATGACTACAGAGCTCTTCCGAGTCTTATGGGATTATAACATCTTCCACCTCTGGGTGGAACTCTGACGGACTCCACTCATGTGAAGTCCACTTGTGAGGTGAACTTGTGTCGAACAAGTACCGTCACTACTTCGGACGATTCACAGCTGTTCCTACGGAGACGCTGAAAGGGTGCGTTAAATGGAATTTCGCCAGGAGACATCTCCAGGTAAAAGAGATTTCTATCACCTAAGTGTACTGGGGAAGAAGCTGAGAAAACCCGGAGAGTGCCGTCCTGATGCTGACACAAACATTCTCCCTCACCCATCCTTTTTCTCCCTCTAAACTTCATCTTTCCATCTTAAAATTCTTCTATCAAGTAGAAATCATTCCAGATATTTTAGAAATGTCTGTGTAAAGTTTTCAACCACCGCCGTGTGGTTAATCAAAATTGTACAGCTTGCTAAAATTAGCCATGTTGTTATTTTCCATATTTTGCCAATTAATGTAAATGTGTGATGTGTTAAACTTTGATTCTGTTAATAAATGACCCACTGTCGTTGGTGAGTCAAAGATAATTAACGTCTCACGTTACATTTCTAAATCCAATGCACATCATTATACAGTCCAGAAAAATGAAAGAATCCGTTTAAATTATGAATATATCTCATGCATATGTTCATCTACACCTCTGCAACAGAACGAGGTCTCTTTTTCCGCTTCGGTTTCCTCTTAACCTTAAAGTGATGAGATAATAAAAATATTGTGACTTCTATGGAACAACCTCAAACCAAAAGTATGTTTCCGAGTCAGAAACTGTCTGCAGGTGGGTGGTTTGTTAAAAAAGAACCAAAACAGCTGCAGAGTGTTTTTAACCAGAAGTTAAAATGAGAAAACTGAACAATTTATAAAGAAAAAAAACCCTGCAAAATTCACTGAGTAAATGATGATTAAACCATAAACCAGCAGCTGAAAGGGTTTTAAGTTACTGAGTCTGGAGTTTTCAATCAGAAAGTACCGACTCGTGGTGTTATAGATCCACATCAGACCCAATGTGACTCCGTTTGGAGACGTTTGACCCAGGCGTGCCGACGGACACGACGAGTCCGAGTCAAAAAAATTGAGCTTTAAGAAACAAAAACTAAAAGTTGACCTGGCAGCAAGAAAAAAACAAAAACAACATGGATGGGACAAGAAGGAGACAGGAAGGTCACATGAAAGAGACAGAAAGAGGACAGGTGGTCAGATGGATACAGGGAACAGGTGAAGGTGGGCGGGGCAAAGACTGACTGATGGAAAAGTCTTGTGAAAACGAGGAACAGAACTAAACAAAAAGAGCACAAAAACACAGAAAATAAACAAAATAAACAACCCCAACAATAAACACAAAAACCTTGTAAACCCCAGATCCTGACACGGCCTTTAAGCCAACAAAGCATCCTGCTGAGAACGTCTCTACGACAAAAAGGTCTCAGCTCGACTCAACCACATCCTGTTATCAGCAGCAGGGGAGGATCTCAGTTCTGACTGTCAGCACCATCACGTGAGCTCCTGGTTTGTTTGTAAGGACAGAGAGGACCGTTCTCCGAGGACGTAACGCGCATGTTCTGTGTTCAAAAGTGTCTCTGCGTCCAGAGGAGCTGACGTGTCTTCATCGTGTCCTCGTGTGGACACAGGATGGTTCTGAGTCTCTGCAGCTTTGTTTGGACCACATGGAGCTTGTGGATCTGCTTCATGCACTCAGGTAAAAAACAAATGTTTCTGCTCTTTAATCTAAAATGTTAATTTACACTGGAAACATGTTATTGTAATGAGAATTTTAATATACTGACTCAGTTATTATATTTTAATGTACTGTATTTATACATTTATCTTGTTTTATTTTTAAAGTAAGGTAGTTTATTTAGCATTTAGTAGTATTCTCTATCAGATTTACGTTGCGTATGTGAAGTTTTTCTCAGGTCATCAACAACCGTTGAGCAAAAAATAAATCAAAGCGCTTCTTTCCTTTTGTGAAAAACTCATAAAAATGAGTTAAAAAAGGTCTGAGCTGAGTTGTTTGTGTCCCTTTCCACAACAGCTATTATTGCTATGCAAGCCATTAATATATTTGATAATTATATTAATAATTAATATTAAATATGAGGTATTAATATTAGTAATTGTTAATGTTATTATTTGTAATTATTAAAACAAATAATTAATAACTTATGTTAATTATTATTTTTACTAATTAATAATAATAATAATAATAGGTGATAATAGGTGCCTCCCATGCATGTTGAACCAAAATGGCTCCAAACGTTACAACGTCCCAGAGACCTACTATATCGCAGAGTCCTGCCATGTCCCAGAGTCCTGCCATGTCCCAGAGTCCTGCTATGTCCCAGATTCCTGCCATGTCCCAGAGTCCTGCTATGTCCCAGAGTCCTGCCATGTCCCAGAGACCTGCTATGTCCCAAGAGACCTGCTATGTCTCAGAGTCCTGCTATGTCCCAGATTCCTGCTATGTCCCAGAGTCCTGCTAT